CTAGGTTCAGTGTTCCTTGCTTTCTTATATATCTCAACCTTAATTATTACTTTTATTTCTTTTGATTATTTAATTATATTTTTTTAAAATTATGTATAATATTATGTTTTGATTTCATTTTTATCATTTATTGTTAAAAAAATAACAGTATATTGATGTGTCACCATAAAATAATGTTATGTCATCATTGAAATAATTTTAAAAAATGTCACGTCAATAATACTATTAATTTTTAACAATAAATGATCAAAATGAAACCAAAACAGAATATTATGTATAATTTTAAAAAATAATAGTTAAATGTAAAAAAAAGGGGCTACTTTTGTTCCGTTTTAATATGTCAACTATAATTATTTTTCAAAATTATGTTTAATATTTTGTTTTAGTTTCATTTTGATCATCTATTGCTAAAAATATAACGATTATGTTGATGTGTCAGGATAAGATAATGATACGTCATCACTAAGAATTAAAAATGTCACATCAGTATTTCTATTAATTTATTTTAATGAGTGGTCGAAATGAAACCAAAACGTAACGTTAGGAATGATCTTAAAAAATATAATTAGATGGTCAAAACAGATTAAAAATGGTAGTAGGGTACTAAATGTGTAGTCTACCCAAAATAAAACGATCCTTGCTGGAGGACCTGAGCCAGGTATTTACCGAGAGAGCACTCGAATGCCGTTGTTTCTAATCAACCGAACAGAACGCCACTCTCCTACCCTCTTCCCCTTCCCCTTCCCCTCGAGTGCCATCAATCTCGACCATATGAATCAAGACACTAGAGTTCATCCTCCATCAAACTCAGTCCACAACCCAAAGCTAAGGCCAACCCCTATATCTTACTTCAATAAACCCACCCTTCTCAAAATCTTCGTTTTCTGCTTCTTCCCTTTAATCATTTCCTCCTTTCTCCTTGCTTACTTCAACAACAATCTAAGTGGAAAGAATTCTGAAATGGTTTGTGGAAATTTGGGATCTTTTTCTTGTTTCAGACTTTGGGTTTTGCTTCTCTTTCAATTTATTGTATTGTAACATTTCCCTTTTTTTGTGTGGAAGGTGTTGTTGCCAGGATGTTACAATGACTCTGATGTTGCTAATGTGGATTCCAGTGAAACTGATTCTGTTCCTTTTAAAGACACTGGTTATGTTTGTTCAACAATGGAGGAGCCTTGCGTTTCTTGTACCACATTCAACATCCTAGCACCCATTTACAAGAGATGGGACCAGCATGTGATTTTTCTTCTTCTTCTTCTTTTCTCTTTTAGTGTCACTGCTTTCTCTCTTTACCCCTCTCTTGCAATTATCGATGTCTTAACGTTTGTAAATTTTGCTCATTTCGTTGTCTTTTTTGATGATTATGGAACAGAATCAGAGTGTACGAGAGAATGATTTTAGAGCATTTTGGTTGGCTAGAAATACGAAGATCCTAAATTGGTTGCTTTACGAAAGGTCGTCCATTATCTGTCTCCAGGTGGGTTTCATATGCCCTTTTCTTCTATTGCCTCCACTTATGACATAAGCCTTTATTTAATGACTATTTGTTCTTCAATGATTAGGAATTTTGGGTTGGAAATGAAGAGTTGGTACATATGTATGAAGAAAGGCTTGGTGCTGCAGGCTATGATACCTTCAAGCTTGCAAGAAGCAACAACCGAGGAGATGGTGCACTCACTTTAACGTATTTATTCTCATACTGGAGCCCAGTTTTAAGATTTTGTTTATAGATTAGACAGTTATGGATGTTCTTATGTGATGTTGTACCAAGTTCAAGTATATTAAGCTTAACTCAAGTCAAAATCAGTAGATAATTTGAGAGCTTGACAGACAATTGTGTAATATTAGTTGTAGTTTGATGCAGCTGAGTGTTGTTTTGTTTGGAAGTTTATTTTCTACTTGTCCACTTTCAGTATGCAAATCCTCCATTTTGATCGGCTCCTACAGAATAGGGTAAACAAAAGAATGAGCATTTCTCACCTATTGAAGGCTGAACTAGTTCCATTATAATTTACATATTTTTCCTTTTGCTCTGTGGTTTCGGTTGCCAGCTACATGGGAAAAGGATGGTCATACTTCTTGGGCTGTTTACAGTCCTTATAATGTGTGTAGATCATCCTGCAAGATTTACATTCAATTACTTTTGTTCTTGATGTTTTGGTTGGTATGATTCAATTTGAATTTCAAGTGCTTTCTAGTCTCAGGGTTGAGAACATTTATTAATTTTACTTCCATAGGTTTGTTGACTGCTATACACAAGGAATACTTAAAGGTTTTAAACCATGGGGAGCTGTTCTTCAATGACTTTGGAGATCGTGTTGCTCAACTGTTACATGTTCGATTAATTGCGCCGTTCTCAAGAAATCAGAATGACAGCGTTGAACAAGAAATTATCATTGTCAACACCCACCTTTTATTTCCTCATGATTCCAGTTTATCCATTGTGAGATTGCACCAGGTAAATGTTATCGTCTTATGAAATATGTCCGTGTACCAGTCCACTGTCTTTTTCAGTTCTTTTTGATGTTAACAGAGTTGACTTATCTCTAGCTTTGATATTCTTCTCTTAGGTTTACCAAATACTACAATATCTGGAAACATATCAGAGAGAAAACAAACTCAGCCAGATGCCTGTCATACTACGTGGGTAAGCATTATCTTTGGTTTTATCACTTGATCTCCCCAGTACTTTCCGTGGTCTCATTTCCCCACTTTAATGCTATTGATTTTGCAGTGACTGGAATGGAAGCAAACGTGGACATGTCTACAAGTTCCTCAGGTCCGATGGATTTGTATAATCTTATTATATTGCACACGAATATACAGACAGCGATGCGGATGCTCATAGGGTTAGTATATTTCATATTTTATTTTAGTACCTATTTATCAATATACCACTATGTTTTTTGAGTCTGCAATGCTTACTGATTAAATATGTCGGCTTTCTTCGTCGTGTCTCTGGTATCCTACAGTGGGTTAGCCATAGAAATCATAGGGGAAACATCTGTGTTGTTGATTTCATATGGCTTTTTAATCCTCATAAATCACAAAAACCTTTGAAGATAAGTTGGGCTGAAGCAGCTTTTGGTATAATAAAGGTTAGTTCTGCGTTTTTCATTTTAACTGTTTGTTTATAGTTCTGTATTTTGGCTTCGTAACTCAAATTATTGCTCACTGAATTCTTACTGCAGTAATCGAAACTTGAACGCCATTAGACAATTACATCAGGGCAGGCCATATCTTATACTTTGCTCACATGCTGATAACCACCTTATACATTACAACCACTTTTCAAATCTGTTACCTAGGCTTCAGTTACTGACGGAATTGTCAAGTGACTGGTGCGGGAATCTGATAATCATCTCTCTGATTCTACCTTAGAGTTGTGTATCTTAGGAGTAGGAGCATAATGGGAAATGTATGTGTCTTACGTTTTCTTTTACAAATGAATATCACCAATTATCATGGATCTGCATCTAAAATTTAATTCCCATTTTATTGGTGACAGTATCAACTTAAAAAGGTTTCATTGTCCGAAAATGATGCCTTTGCCACGAGAATAACAGCAACCATGTAACATATTCAGCTTTTTGTGATGCACTTAGACAGTTATTTTCTCATTCAATTCCTTAATATAGTACCCTAGTATATAATGCGAGTGGTAAAATTCTCACCTTTTCCGAACCATCTACAGGTGAATTTGACTGGTCTTTCTTACGGATTAAGCTTCGAGGAGACAAAAAGATCTCTGGGTCCAAGCAGACACCAATGGAAATGGTATTCTAAACTATGAAGAATTTAAGGTGTGTTGCATCACTAATGTATGACTTTGTTTCAAAGTTAATTTTACTTGTGTATGGACACATATTGTCACTGCAATAAGTTTTGGCAACATTTCTGATGTAACCTTTTATCTGAAAAATAGCTTTAAGTCGATGTAATATTCAAGGCAACTTTTCTCCACAAAACCAAATTTCATTCAGAATGTTGAAGTCATCATGCAGAAAAAAAACCATATCCTTGACCCGTTGTTTGTAGAAACGTTCAATAATTGATTGACATGTTTGCAGGGAATTTGGGATGCTACATGGTTGCAACATATGGATGAAGAGTGCCGCTTAGCAGACATGAATGAAGGCACTGCAGAAGAAGAAGCAGAAGAAGAAGAAGAAGAAGAAGCTATCGGTGTTGCAGTAAAGAAAGCAGTTCTCTTCCCCCGTGAAGTGGAGAAAGGGATTTGGCCCCAAATCTACTCTCTTTCACCGCCGTATTCTCTCCAGTGAGATTACGGTGTTCGAAGATGTGTCAAAGAGATTTGATTTAGACAAGTGGGGGCACACATCAAACAGGCAATTGAAAATTGTAAGAAGTTGAATGGACGGTGGCATTGTCAAAAAAAGATAATGTCGGTTGGCCAAAACTTCGGGGGCAAGTTTACAACAGTTAAAGAAGATCCCACATAAATCTGTGGAAATCTAACTCAACTTTTACATTACAACCTTGGTAAATCCAACTTAATATTTTTTAGTAAATTACGTTTTATATCCCTCAATTTTGGGGATCCCACTTAATATTTTTTTAGTAAATTATGTTTTTTATCACTCAATTTTAACCTTATTTTTATTTTAGTCATTTAATTTTGAAGAATTTCACATTTGATCACTTAATTTTGGAAATTGATTTTTTCACTCTAACAGCGTAATATTGTAAATTATTTTATTAATATTTGATTCGCGTATATAATAATTAATATTGTATTAATATTATTTTTATATTTTTCCATTGACTTTGCTTTTTAATTAGTTAGACATTTTACTGGATAATCCCTCTATTGTATATCATTCCCATTTCTCATTCTAACATTTATCATCTCAATCAATCATTAATTGAACACTCAGCAATACTTAAATCACTACTTGCCACTTGAACCACTGTCATATGCTCCTTTCATACCATCTTCAATTACTCAAGAACCATTACTGAGTGTACACCCATCAACGATGGAAAGTAAGTCAAAATCTAGGTTGATCCAGGTAGAGACCGAGAAAAGTGAGGAAGAAATGTAAGAGGAAACATAAAATGAAGAAAAAAAGTAAAGAAAACAACTTTTTACAAGGATCTAAAACGTAGTTTGGCTGTAAATTTGACTTTTTGTAGAGATCTAATCATTTTGGTGTTGAGTGATATAAAAGGAAATCATTTAAAAATTGAGTGAACGAGCTAAAAAATTTAAAGTTGAGTGACCAAAATAGTAATAAATTAAAGTTGTGTGATGAAAATCGTATTTTACCCTATTGTTTCCCACAACTTCTTGAGGAAGGAGTTTTTGTTCATTTAAAGGTTTTACCCTATCTATCTAAGATTTTCATGGGATCACCTTCCTTGACCCTTCTTATTGAGGGACGGGAATTAGGGTTTTTTGTTTTCTTTGTTTGTCTAATTTCTTGGAATCGTCTTCTTGTTGAATTACCCTTCTGGTTTCTTCTCAAGTATCTGATGAGATGGACTAGTGTAGCTGCAACGACATCGTTGGATACAGGTTCCACCCAACTGATAAAGAACTCATCGATCATTACCTATGTAATAAGGCACTCGATCGTGATTCTGCTGTCCAAGCTATCGGTGAAGTCGTCGGCGACCTCAGCGACTGGGAGCCTGGAGAATTACCCGGTAAGTTTCAACTTAGCCCATCGTCGTCGTCTTCTTCTTCTTCTTCTTCTTTTTTTCCAGATTCTTCTCACTTTCTTGGTGTTTTGTTTTACAGGGTTTTCAGCAAGAAGATCTAATGATCGGATTTGGTATCTATTTTCTCGAAGAAACCATTGTAAACGGGTCAAGAGGACAACCAAGCTTGGCTACTGGAAATTAACAGGTAAACATAGGAGTATAAAAGCTAAGGCTGGAATTGGTACCAAGAAGGCTTTGGTTTTCTATGAGGGTCGCTATCCTCAAGGAAAACGGACCGCTTGGGTCATCCATGAATACACTTTGCCTCATACTCTCCCTAACCAGGTATTTTTTTCTGCATTTAAATCTGAATTATTGTAATCATTTCAAATTTCTCTTTCGGTTATAGGATGTTTTTGTGTTAGCGTCTAAAAGATTTATCTTTGTTTATACGTCTAAAAGATTTATCTTTGTTTATACTCGGTTCATGTATAGGATTAATAACTCTTGAACTTTTTAGCTCTAGAGAATTCAATTTTGAAGAATTGTTGCTGTTTCCCCAAACTTGATAGTATAATTTCTTGCAATTCATAGCAGATCCCAGTTTGTTGCGTTGTTTCTCTTTGTTGTACTCTTAATTTGAAAAGCTGATTATGCTGCGAGTTATTTGCACTAAGTTGTTTTGTCATTCTCTTTGTACAGAAAGGGTATTTTCTTTGTAAATTGAAGAAAAAAGATGATGAAAAGGCTGGCATTTCAAGTGGTGAAGAAGGCCAGCCAAGTAATGCTGCAGAAGATGAACCTTTTGACGTAAGACACGCACCTTCTAATGTAGCTTTTCAACATATATTTGATGAGTATGGAAATGGTAAAGTTTGATGAACTAATTGTTTTCTTTTTGTAAATCAGAATCCATCGGTCATTGATGTTGAAGAGTTACTGGCACTGATAAATGACTCCGTTGAAGTTGAACATGAGGATGATTCTGTGCAGAAATCACAGATGTACGATGAGCATGTGACGGTGCCTTCCATTAATGCTGCTTATGGTAGTGATGATTTTGATGGAGTTCACAATCAAACTAGCACCAATGAACAGAATGATCAGACATATGTTGCATCTTCTTCATTGCAATCCCGTGTGTATGAGGAAAGTGTGCTTTCTCATGACGATTTCTCATTGTTTCGTGACTCTAATGGGTATGTCCATGAGATTCAACATCAATCTAGCACCAATGAACAAGATAGTGAGATTCAATGTCAACCTAACACCGCTGAACAAGAAATGAGATTAAACATCAACCTGGCATTGATGAATGATATGATTTCTTTAATTCCATTTTAGTGGATGTTGATGAACTTTTTTGTTTGTGTGAGAAAGATGACTTTCGCCGTGGCTGAAACATGTAAGTTCAATAGGATTGTGCCCTCAGACTACTTCAAAAAGAAAATGCAAAGTTGTAATAATACAGAGAGACAATATATATATACATATATATGTGTAATTAAAAGAAAATGTAAAGTTGTAATAATATAGAGATACAATATGTATATGTATATGTAATTTTGTCGTGTATGTGTATGCATAAATTATAAATTAAGATGTATTCATTTGATTTTTTTTATTTACCTGTTGTTTTAATCGTAATTATATATCATATGATTTATTGTCAATATGAACTTTAGGCGCATATATAAATCTGACCGCATGCATATACCAGAAAACTGGAAAATTTATTTTAATGAATCTCAAGTCTTCTAAAACGTTGTATCCGATGATATCAACAGTCAAAGATGGCAGCAAGAGACCAATGAGCTTAAATACCAGTAGGGTTACCTTGTATTGTATGCTATTCTTTACAATGATTACACTCCAAAGTTTCCTTTATAATTGTTGTTCAACAAGGTATCAGATTTCAGTGATCCTGAGAATTTCTCTCTTGTGTATTTTTTAGTGTGTGGTTGGATTTGCTCGTGATGCTGTCGCAAGAAGCTACCTTTGGTGGTGGTGCTCCGACTGTGTTTGAAGGTTCTTTGGTCAAGGTTGATGAGATCTTTACCAATAAACGAATTAGTGTGGTTCTTGATGAGTGTAACTTCCTTTAGCGGAAGCAACATATTCTGTTGGCCGTAAGGAGTCACTGGCTTGAAAAGCTTCTCATCGGAGTTGTTCGTCCACCGTTTGCTACTGTCACTCGTGAAGTGGTTGATAATGACGAGTATGAGCTATTTGTTGCTCAGGATAGTGTTTTGGTCTCCTGGCTTCTATCCATTGTTAGTTTATCGCTGTTTCCTTAGTTTGTTGGGCTAAGACGACGGCAAAGTTATGAAATATGGTTACTAATTTTTTTACTAGTAGATCTATTACAACCATAATGAATTTGCATCATAAGTTGAAAATAGTGAAAAAGGGGAGCTTAGTATACGTGCCATTCATATGTTAAAGAAATTTATGATGCTTTGGTTCTATGTGTTGTGTCTGTTTCTGATTATGAGAAGGTTGCAACTATTCTAGGTGGAGGCCATTTATTGCTATTATTACGACTAATAACAAGTCGTATAAAATGGATTTATAGCGGCATTTTTGGAAAAAACGCCGCTAAATACTAGTACTTTAGTGGCTTTTTCTATAAAAATGCCGCTATAGACTTGTATTTTAGTGGCATTTTTGTACAAACACCGCTATAGACTCATACTTTAGTGGGTTGTTAGACAAATGCCGCTAAAGACTCATACTTTAGTGTCGGTTTTAGACAAATGTCACTATAAACTTGTACATTAATGGTGTTTTTGAATAAACGCCATAATTTCTCAGTACATTAGTGGCGTTTGTTATTACAAACGCCGCAAGTTTATCACTTTAACCCTTAGCTTCTTCGAAACTTTCACGGTTTTCCTCTTCTTTCGACTGAAAACAGTGCTTCCAAAAATGGGTTATTCTATACAGCTGACCCAAGCGGAGAAGATGATATTTTGCCTTCTTTTGAGGAGAAACCGTTGAATTTTCCCTTTGGTTTTGATTCTTTTGGTAAAAAACCCTTTTGTGGATCTGTTTTCTTGTTCTTCTTCGTAAAGCAAGAGAAGAGAATGGCAACGATAAATGCATACGCATGAAAAACACTAGTAGCCTCTACCACTGGATCAAAACAACTTACCTCCACCACCAGGACTTTTGATTCTCAATCTGTTCTTAAAAGGTTTTTCCCAAATCTCTTTTTTACTACTTTGCATTGTATTTTGTTTCTAAACTAGGTCAAATCGAAGTTAATTTTGTAGATTTGATTTTCTTTCTATTTTTATGTAATTCGCCGCACGTGCGTCTGTATGATGAAATCGACAGTGCAACGTTTCTTATTTTCCATGAAAAATCTGGCTTCGTTTTGATTCGTCCACTACTATTTTCCAGTAAAATAAAGTTTTCCCAACCAAAGACAAGTTTTTTTTTCCTTTTTGGGTGACTGAAAAGAGATAAACCTGTAAACCTTCTTTTGTTTCTTGTGCATTGTTAATGTTTTACCCATACGGGTACTTTCTTTCTTCTTTTTTTTTGGGTTGGAAATACTAGAAATGTGAAATGGCTCAACGCGTTGGAGGCTCGTCTCAAATCTTGTTGATGTTGAGTCTCAATTGAGAAGCTTCGATCAAGCTGGTGGGTTCATTGCGAGTTCGAATGTTGCTCAAGGTGTCATGGATAGGCACAAGATGGTTAAGAATTCAAACTTGCGTGCAGGTCATCCTATGATTTCTCAAGGAGGTTGCGGCCGTAGTAGAATCAAGTTGCAGCGTAAAATTTTTTTCGACATATTTTTTTTGCAAGACTCAAACATTTTTATTGAAGCTTACTTTGAAGCATGAAACATCAGTAAACTTACAACAAATTTTCAAGCGAGATTCGTGCATTTCTAAGGCATGATGTCCTCTTGAAATATGACCAGCTTTCAGTTAGTTTTCCAGTGTATTTTGGAACGCCTCATTCGAATATCGGAAACTCAAGATATGTTTATTTTAATGAAGACAATGTGTGTAGAAATTTGGATATGGGCTTAATGCGAGAATTTTAATTTATTAGGAATTTTCAATAATTTTATTGAATATTTGTAATGCAATTCAATTTTATACTTTCCATAATTTATTTAGGGCAATTTAGGATCTTTTTATTATTTTAGGATTTTTCCCCTTCAATTAGTATATCTAGCATTAATAAAAAGATGCTTGAGTTTTCTTGGGTTTTTGGGAGCTGATAATAAACACTCATCTTATGTAAGAGGGACACATTATTTTTGAGAAAATTTTTGAGAGGCACAATTTTTAGAAAAAATATTGGAGAGAAAAAATGAAAGGGAAAAAGAGAAAAAGAGGGAGCCATCAAAACATTGTAATTTGGAGGATACAATCAATAGAAAGAAAAAAAAAATTACCTAAAGATGATTTCTTCATTAGTTTTGCTTATTTTTATTTTTTTTACTTTTTTCTTATTATTTATGTTGATTTTGATCTGTATTTAAAAAAAATCATCGAATGAGAAGGAACTGATGAATGAGGAAAAGGCATTCAAATAGATTTTCTTAAGTAGCCTTTCTTAAGGATTTTTTTATGGATACCGACCAATTCATTTTTTTGTTATTTTGCTTTTGTTCTTATTTTTCAATCGATTTTAATATTACTTTTATTTGAAAATCACGATGAAAGGGAGAAACTCGACGAACAAGGATAAAGGCTTTCCATTGAATCTTCATATATTTATCCTTCTTTGAAGTTTCTCAATGAAAATCATTGGTGGATATTGATTGTCAAAATCATTTTTTTATTGTTATTTTTTTATTAAAAAAATCCAAAATTTTGAAGAAAGAAAAATTATTTGTATTTTGACATTTTGAGACTTATATTAAATTAAATAATTTGATACCCGATCCAAATTCCTATAGAATTTTCGTGTTCCTACTTGGGTAGGAGATAATTATTGATGTCCTTGTTATTGTTTTTAAAAATTTATTTTGGTCATCTTCCAATAATCCTTTTTAAATAAATTTTGAATTAACTCATTCATTTTATTTTAAAAGAAGTTACTTAATCTACATTTTATTTCCTTTTTAATTTTTTTTCTAATTCTTTTAATTCTCTTTCTAATTTGTGAATGGTTTTTTTTTTAAAAAAAATTAACTTCATTAGTTTTTATTTCCCCCCCTCTAATTTTAGTTTCCTTCTAAATTTATTTAATTCTTACTATGTGTTTTCTTCCTTTCTTCTTAATTAGATTATTTTTTTATTTTTTTATTATGTTTGATTACTTTTTTTTATAATGACTAAATATTTATTCTAATTGAATTCTCTTTCTTTTTTAAATTAATATTATAATTTTTTTTAATTATTTTTCTTTTTTATTTTCTTTGTTTTTATGATATATTTATTTATTTATTTAGTGTGAGTATTTATATTTGTTGGAGCTGTCTTTCGGGTGGGCCCAGAATTGAGCTTCGACTTGAATAAAATGATTTAGAGTTGCCACTAATCATTTAAAAAAATATTTAGGCTAATAGGACACCATCTTACCTGATCTGCGTTTTACCAGAAATGTGTCGGGTTCGGGAGTTGGTTCCAGTCAAGGAAGGATTAGCACCCTTGTACTGCCCTTTCGGTACCAATTAATTCGTCGGTTGTTTTAATTGCGAAAATTAAAATTTAAAAATTCAATTCAAATAATTGCCTTTGATCGATTGAAAATATCCCTAAAAAGTAAAAATATGTTAGATTTTAAAGGTAATAAAATAAAAATAAGAAAAACAAATAAATAAAAAATAGACTAAAATTGAAAGAAAAAATGAATAAATAAAAATAAAAATGCTAAAAGGAAAAAGGAAAAAAATGAATAACTAAATTGAAATAAATTAAAATTGATGGATTAAATTGGTACTAAAAATGAATTGCAAAAGAAAAAAAATAAAAAAATTAGGGGACCAAATCACAATGAGAAATGACTTCAAGCAAACAAATGAAATTTCTCCAAACCTGGAAGGACTAAAACAACAATTTGACCCTAACCGTCCAAGACCAACGGGTTACCCTTGGAAAATGTAACCAATGCACGTGTTTTATGCAAACCAAATTTCAATTTGGCTTAATTTTCCTCTCTCTCTCTACGAGATGAAACAGAAAAGTACTCGCCTCAACTTCAGTTTTCAAGGGCCGACGATAGAACCACCAAAATGCTCATTGCCAATTAATATTCAAGCCAAAATTTCACGGGAAGTTTCGTTTTGACATCGTGATCGTGGATTCGATCTTCTTTTTGCCTGAAATGACTTCTAGCACCCACGAAATAGTCGATAAACATTTCAGCTTTCCCTCTCCGATTTGTTGTCGACCTCCTTTGGATCCGCGCTTGTAAAAATTTCTGTCTTCTGTCATGTTTTTAAAGGTTTATGAGTTTCTCCTCACACACAACACGTGCATTTGCATTTCATAAGCTCACTTAAGAGTTTTGTCCCTTTTAAGTTGAGGTGAAAG